TTCTGAAAAATGAAAAGAATACTACAGAGGGTTTCCAGATGATTCCTAACGGCGGCCAAGGACACAAGCGGCACTGGTCCACATCTGGCAGAGAGAGGGCATGTGTCCATCTCCACTACCAACCCCAGGGATCAAATCCCAGCCACCTGGCACCCTCTCTGGCTCTGGATCCGCATGGGGTGGCAACTGATATTGTATAGGCAGACCACAGTGTTCATCAATCACACGTCTCCCCATAGTTCGACTGTGCAGATTGGCTCACCAGAAGGCACACCCATGTGACCCCTCCTCTCCCAGACAAACAGGAGTTGATGCTCTGGCTATGGCTGGGTGTACTAACACTTCTTATTTTACCAGTCCTGGTCTTAGATGGGGTACCATTACCCTCTCATTTGCTTCTCATCTGTAGAAAACATTTGATTCTGTTATTGATGTAATCCCTAGAAAAGTCTCAAAACCCAATTTCGAAGACATTCAGTTTACAATTATACTGAGCAACTGTATATTCTAAATCCTTAAACTATTTTTTTCTTATTCAAGAACAATGATTGCTTTGCATTCTTTTTTTGTACTTTAAACAAGTTTCTTTTTTATTTCCATAAAGTAATTTACGATTGACTCATGCTAAGTGTATTATGTTTCGAGGACATTTGTCCCAATAACTGAATACTGATTAAACAGAGAAAATAAATCCCCAAACTTCATACAAACAGGAACAGACTGATGAGACAGGTAGAAAGGCAGACATAAATATTTACATCCTCGCCTTCACAGACATTTAGACAGAAAGCTAATAACTTTTACAGCACAGCATGATGTATTTTAAAATCCAAAAGACCTCCATGAAGGGGAAAATCTTCACAAGCTGTCAGCAGAGCCAGGTCTCATTAACATCAGAGTTCTTTGAAGCTATTTATCTCCATTTTGACAGTTCTATAGCGCTATAGAAAAGACTCAATTAATATTTATTTTTTCCAAACTAACCCACATAAGATAAACTCCTATTAACTCCTGTAAATATATCAAATGCAAATACTTCTGAAACTTACATATACTGAGCATTAAAAGAAACATATAATATTTTAGTCAAATAAAATATGTAGATTTTAGATAGTGATTGAAGGTTTCTGCTGTCATTTTAAGTAATTGATCATTTATAAATAATCATGTCATACTCAAGTAATCATGGCACACATACACTAAGAGCATAACACCATGCTCTTATTCACTAGTAACACTAACTCACCGCATTAGTGAAAGAGCTGACTGGACATGACATGATTTAATATGAATGTCAAGCTCGGTGAAAATAAAAAACAATAGCAGGAGAGCAACATCTTCTTGCCACCAGTACCCTGGGGGCTGAATAAGTCCAGGAGCACCTGAGCACAGCCAGTCAATAATACTCAACGATCTGGGAGACAAGGCACCTCCCCCAGACTGACTTATCAACCCAGATCCCACAGGGGTCCGGTTCTCACCAAAGTTCAACACCACAAAATGTGGGGATCCACGCAACACCCCAGAAGTAGTTAACCAGCACCAGCTGAGCCAAGTGCTCACTCTTAATGAAGCAAATTTTTGACTGACTTCACCAAGTGTGGAGCAGTTGAGCATTCAGCGTACTAACCAATAGGGAGGTCAAAGTGTGGTACTCTAGGCAGGTGAGACCAGTTGCACAGAGCACCGCTTCTCATGACTGATGGCAACCTACCAACACCACTCTGATCACGACCGGGGACCCTCAACCTGCTGCCCTTCCTGCGTGCTCATCCTGATGGGACCACACCCCATTAAAACAACACACTTCCTCATGCTGCTCATGTCCCAGTCCTGACTTCCTGGCTGTCTTGAACTGAGAATCTGACAGCTGTGTGGTTGTGTGGGCGAGGCTCTACTCGCCAGACCTGAGCCAAATTCAGCCAAACAGTGTGGGAATAAGCCAAGATTATGTGACATCTAGGGGCCACAGAGACCAGCGAACAGGCCAGTGCTTGTTCGGGCTCCGCAGGAGAGGAATGGGATAGAACCCTGCATGTCAGCATCTGCATCCTGGTGCAAAGCATTGGAGGAGTGGAGCTTGTACTGCTTTCAATAACAGCCACACATGTCACTAGGCTGCGGCTTTCAGAGTAGATCTCCTATCGATCAACCCTATTGATGACAAATGTTCATCATCGTAATCAATTCATCGACGCTATGTCATGTCTCTCCAATACAATGTCAATGCAACTGCAATTAGAAGAATTTCTGGTTTTCTGCATAATACATTTATTGCACTTCCAGTCGCATTCTTCTTTTGATAAAATGCTTTCAATAGTGCATTCAGCATCAAGAGAGGCTTTGTGCTCTGTAAGATGACTAAGAACAGTGGTATCTTTAATATGAGTAGTAGTTTATGTCTCACAATTGATGGGGTTAAAAATAGACTTTCAGATATCAGGTGAGGTAGGATAAGGAGTGGATGATTCACAGGTTAAAATCAATTGTTGGACAGGTCTTTTAGGATATTTCTCTGTATAGAAAATTCTACTGGTTGGCAGAAAGATGTACTGGACATCTTCAAAAAAGCAATGGGGTAAAAACCCAGAATAAGTGACTGTCGGTCACACTTTCACCTTCCACTGTTTCTTTAAGGTTTGTACAGAATTAGCTAAAACATTTACAGCTAGGTCAAAAGAGTGTAAAACGAATTCATTTGTCAAGTAAAACAAGTATGACACATAAAAAGCAAAAACCAATTCAAGAGCGCATTCTGGAAAAGCCCCTAGATTTTAATATGAAACCAACACCTCTGTATTTTTTCTTTCTTTATTGTAGTAGTGTGATATTATTGCTCATCACGCTGGTGCTTTCTTTAACACAGTACAACACCCTGCACAGGCAGTGCTACCTGCCCTGGTTTGGAAAGCAGAAGAGTGTGGGAGTGGGATTTCTCCTCTGCCCCAGTCTCATCGCCTTTAAAAGAGCTCAGGGGCGCCAAAACCAAGGTGGCAAGGTGATGACTGGTTGCAGGTCTCGTGTGAAAAGGATCAAAGCGAAGAAAAGATCAAAGAGCACAGGAAGCAGGGACTCTCTGCAGTTTATGTGCACAAAATGAACATTTAGGAGAAAGGACACTGCTCCACCTCGTATATTACTCCTCCAAAGTTGAAGCAAAACTAGTCTCAGTAGCCACAGACTGAATATTCATGAAATGTTGGCAAAATTATGTGATTAGGTTTACTGAGAGCATCTTTAAATGAAAGTGTGCCGCCTGAACTGTTCACTAACTCTACCTGCTTATTCATGTAGATGACCAAGAAAAAATGTTGACATCAGTACATCCACTTTCTAATTTTACAATATACTGTGTTACACAAAGTGCCATGTCATGAAGAACAGCAAACGTATTTCAATTACCCTAACTGTAGCTCATACTATAGAAAACAGGTTCAGAAGGGTACGTCATATTGTCCGTATGTTTACAATGATAGAGGCGAAAGGAATTCAGTGCAGTCTGTTCAAAAAGCAAGTGACACTAACAGGCTTCTTGAGTTGTTATTCCACGGTTTTAACCTGAAGTGGATGTCTGTCTCATTATAAATAATTCTGTTTGTCTCATACAGAATTAAGCACACAAAAAATGTTTAGATTGATTTTTGACCTACGGTACACTGAGAAATGCTGGCTTCTGTATCTCAGGTTGAATCAATTAAGTAGCTCCTGTAGCTATTTTTGATCTTGTGCATCTTTCCGGATGTTTTCCAGCCCTGTTCTCCTGGGACAAATGTTTGCTAGAAGGTTTCCAGTGATAAAGTAAGATATATTTCCTTATTAGCCCGTTACAGTACATGATGTATTCTGCATAATATTTTGAGCGAGTGGATTCCTGAATATATTTCATTTTTATTGCAGACAAAAATCAAACAATTATTTACTGTATATGTGAAGCCTTTAAACAAATGTTATTGGGATCCCCTGAGTGCAATTTCTGGTTACATTGCAGATTCCTAAATTCTATTTACACTTAGCATTCACTGACCCCCTGAACACAAGAACTGAGACAATTCCCAGGGTTTGCATTAACATGCATGAATTTCAGACAACACATTCAGCAGAATAAAAGCTAAAAGAAGAAGCAGTGCACTAATGTCTAAGGTTGTACAGGAATATACAAAATCCTCTCTCATACACCTCGTATGAGGCGTGGTGTACTTTTCTTAAGAAAGGTCTGACTAGTCATTAAAACTCATACACAAATTTAAAGAAGAAAATGTGCAAATATCTGGGTAAATACAATATTGTAATTTAAAGGCCTGATGTACTCCAGCAATCTCAAGCAAGCAAGCGAACACAGACAAAGAGCACAGTTAATTATTTAGGATGCCTGCTGCAATCCATTACTCTACATTTATTATAGAAGAGAAGATCCATGCTAGGTTTAAAATAACCTTTCTATATAATAATCTGATCATATTTATTAAAACAATTGGAAAGTATGAATCACCAATATTGAATTGGGTTTCCAGCTAAATTATAATGGTTTTCTTTCTCCTTTGTATTTTTGGATCAAATTAAAAGCAGGAAAGAACAAAATCATCAAATGTAAATATACAGTAACAGCACTGACATTTCTAAAGGTATCATACCAAAAAAACCAAAAGTCAATGTACTATAGAGCCAAGATGCATTTTCAAATTGAAGAGCCAAAAAACTTAGGAGCTGAAATATATTTTTCAGCATTCCTTTTCAGTTCACAGCTTGTGAATGCATAATATTACTGTGTAATAATAAACTGTGCATACGAAATATTACTGCGTAATAATAAACTGTAAACACATAATATTAGTGTGTAAAAATAGTCAGTTATGGAAATAACTAAATTGCTCAAAAGACTTTTCATACTGTCTGTGGAAAATATGGTATTTTCTTAAAACCCGCAAACATTTAAGCTAATCATGCACTGAGTGATTTCTTTAAGCTCTTCTATAGACACATCACTCTGAGGGAAACCTCACCTCTGTGATGTTCAGGTTACATCTGTGGGTCCCAGCAAACCATCCATCATTGGAACACTGGTCAACATCCACATTCTGAAGGTTGACATCAACACGAACCACTCCCCTGAAACAAATATTAGGAGAAAACATTACAGTTCTTGAAAATATCTGACTTCTACCTATTAAATACTGTACATGTGAAAAATGTATAAAATACAAGATGCAAAACCCCTTCCTTTCAACTCACGATGTAGTTTTTTTTTTCAGTTGTGTTTCAGTTATGTTGCCACAAACAATAAATGATTAGCACAAAAAACACTTATGCTCTTGAAAACAGAAGCAGGCTCATTTCTGTCCTCCTCAGATCAATGTGCTGTAGCTAATGGCGTATGAAATTCTGTAATTAGCAGACACATTAAGAAGAATGAATTTGCATTAGAGTACCATACTTCTAGTAGTTTCTAAATTGGTTTTCACTTCACTGTGCACATTTTATAGCAGTAAAACAAAAAACCTGTAAACTACTTAAATTCCATAATAAACTTGTGTTGATATCTGTGTTTCTCCTATTCAGTTCAAAACATTCCTGGCCTTTTTCATAGAAATAGCAAAATGAGGATAAATGCTTAACATCTATCTAAACTACCAGATTGTCTGTTTATGATGGCAATCTCTGCAAAGCTTAATGGCAGGCAGTTACTCTAAATATGTCCACTTTTTGTGGCACACATGAAGGAACTATTGTATAATACTATTAAACATTGATTTTTATTGTTTCTTTTTAAAACAGCAAAGAAGAAAGCATTCAAAGCTCCAGCTACTTGATAGAAATGTACTGTAGGTGCTTATAATTTCAGCTACTCGTTCAATTATTAATGCTTTTGCCCCTGGTGCTGCTGATCTTTAAAAAGCCATTAATGCTCTGTGAGACACCAATAAAATGTTACAGGTTCCAGCTCAGCACTTGCTCATAATGAAAATCCCTTTCACACATTTAACAATGAGGCTGTCTGAAAGGCCCTCTCATTATAATTAGTAGCAATAAAGGATAAGGTTACAAGAGTCTCCTATCAGATCAAAAATCATGCAAACAATTCCAAGGGCTATAATTTCATTAATATGAGGTTTTGTACTGTTAAATCTATAAAAGCAGTTGCACTTATAAAAAGCATTTTCGCCCATTGATTTATTTCTGGAGATCCGTACCCAAAATATGCAACCCAGTTCCAATGTGTGGTAAATGTGGCCACAGCAGTTTCTGCGAACCAGAATTTTGACTGACTAGTTCTGTTAATAATCTTTGTAACCCATACTAAATGATAAATAACTGAAATAGGAAGTCTTTCTTTAGAAATAACAATGAAAATACCACATCCCCAAAAAACTATGTGAACGTTATGCAGAGCTGCTAACAGAGACCGATCGGTGGTGACATACGTGTCTCTTCTTCTACAATGGCTATACATCCCGCAAAGCAGATCTCTGCTTCAGCCTCAGCAGAGACTCGGTTTGCAATGAACAGGCAGCTACGTATCTCCTTCTTCAACAAGCTTTCAAGCAAGCAATAGGGATCATCTCAGGGGGATCTAACTGGTTCATCCTTCCTTTTGATTGCCTCCGACTCTGGATGAGCAGTGCTCATCCTTGCTCAATGTGGGTGAAACCTTCATCATGGGGACCACCTGGATTAGTGGAGAGCCCAGTAGTGGTTGGACCACCTCATCTCAGTGTTGTAACAGACACTACTCTGAACCTATTTAGTTTCGCTGAGTGAGAGCTCTAAAACACCTATATAGATTCTTTCCCCAGGCTATAACTCTCATAAACAAGGACACTTCTTAAATTCCTAACTAGTTGTACATTTTTATTTAACAGTACATGCCACTGATATTTTTTGTAAATATATGCAGTACCCATTGTACATTTTATTATTCAACTGTACATACTTTTAAATTGTACATATCACTGAGTTTGGTTTTATCTGTAGGTTTTTTCTTTTCTTTTATTGGAATTTATCTTGACGCCTGCACCAAGAGAAATGCCTTGTAGATTTTGTACTTGGCAAATAAAAGTTTCTAACCCCAACTCTAATGCTTCAGTAAGAAACCTTCAGTGTACTCTAGACATCAGGTCTTCCCCTGGTATAAACATGGTCTCGAAACAAAAAGTAGTTGTATATTAGAAACATCTACTACCATCTGAAAATTTGGAGAGAGGACTCCTGTTTATCTTCACCACCTGTTTGTGAAACAAATGTTTAATTTCAACCACTATTCTGAAAGCACAAATGCTGTTCGATCCTTCTCTAACGTTTCTAAACCCACAATTTACTCTAATTTGTCATAATCAGGTGTTTAAAGTAAAGTGATGTGTCAACCATTTTTCCTCATATTTTCAATAACCCTATCATATCTCTATCAAAACTATCCAAGGGGTAGTGGGTTGAAAAATCTTACGATTATGAGAAAATGAGCACTGGACAGATGCTGAATAGTTGTGGTCAATTCTGTGCTGTTTCATACTAAAACTGGATAGACAATAGTTATCGTCAGTATTTCCGATTTGAGCTGTGAGCCTTCATAGTTTTGAGCTGAGGCACACAGAATTAATTTCTCCGTTATTTGTGATTTGTGTAGAAAAGGCCAGACATAGAATAACAAGACGTTATTTTTAGTGTGTCCAAAGAATAGCAGAAAATACATGCAAAATGAGAGATCAAGGGTCCTGTGCAAGGTGTCCTAAAAGCCAGTGCCCATCTTGTGCAGGACAACATTCTAACAAAACAGGAGCAAATGTATCAAGTCACCAATTTCTTAGATTTGGTCAATCATCCCAGTCTATTCATACCACAAACAGGAGAAAGACATCTTTAATATCAAAAGTTTATTGAATTGTCAGAGTGTTGAGCTACACTTGCAAAGGTATATAAAGAACAGCAACTAATTCAGTAGTTTGGTCAAATTCTGATAACAATGAAACAAGCAGGCAAATATAAAGGCATAGCATACATAACACTTTGGTATTTCCTGGCTGAGGAAATCACAGGGCTAGCCAAAGATCAGTAAAATACAAGGAATGAACCAGGGAGACAGCTACAAGGATGCAATTGAGGTGGAAGATAAGATGTGCAGCGCCAGCAAGTACTAGCAGACCAAAGTACATACCAAAGGAGAGCAGGAGTGCAAGATCAGAATTTGACCTCCACCCAAACTCCTGTTCAATAACACTCAATAGGAAAAAAGGAACAATAACAATAGTTACTTGAATGAAGTTAGTAAAGGGTCAGCTGATCATTTTGCCTAAAAAATATGAGAATAAGCAGCTAGCATTAAATCCATTCATAGAATATGGCAGCTGCAACACTCAGGTCAGACAAAATGAGCCTCAACAGATGAGATGGAAAATCTGTTAAAATTTGAAAACTCAAGAAAACTTGAGCTCAGGAGCACAATCAAGCATCCTCTGTAGAAAGAAACTTTAAGCACTCTCCTAAAAACTCCATTACAATTTCAGCATTTTAAAATTCAGAATCACAGTTTCTTATACCACACCCTAACGGGCAGAATTAAACAATTAAACAAGACAATGTGCATATTAGTCAGAGATGAGAATAAAATAAATCAATGCTGTAAAAATGACTCAAAGCACTGCATTTGAAAGGCTTAGTGGCATCATATTGAATTAGCTAGCAAAACATCTTTCTTCTTGCATTAATATTGCATCTGTGTATTGTGAAGCAAATGCCCAAAATATATTAAAAAGTCATCACAGCTGGATAATATAACTGGATGATTAATAAAGAGAATAAAACTCTTCATTGTAGATTTTAAATGGTTCACAGAGGAAATATAATAGTCTGACGTTTTAATCATTGTAAAGTCTATCATATGGCTAATGTCTTTTCTCACCGTCACCTTTACTTATTTTATGAATTAATTAAGAGGAACAATGTGTTTTTTTTCCCTTTTATGCCTGTGATGTTGTGAGAGATGGCTCTGTGAGAAAGCCAACGTCTTGGCTCAAAACTCGGGCCCAGTGGTGTACTAAATACCTGTTAATTGGGAAAACCTGCAGAATGAAGCACACCTGATCTGAGCAAGTAATTAGCATTCAGAGGGAGTAAGATTCCATGCGAGGGAAAGGAGCTATCTGGACAGGCTCTGTATGGAATTATCCATGCCTTTGGGCTAATTAAGAGGCTTACAAGACCAATTAGGAGGAAATTGAACAGATTCAGTTTGCATCTAGGTTCCAGTGGGGAAGGCAAGGAAATGACAACTCTTGCTTGTAACAGATTGGGCCGGTTTACAGGTCTGTGGGACTCAATGAGCTAGGAAGGCCTGAGAAGATATAACCTAGGCTGTACCGCAGGACTCCAAAGGTTCAGGGTAGATGGGCTGAGTGGTAGTTACAGTGGTTCAAGCAGGGAGCTGCCTCAGCATGCGTCGGCTGCAAAGGAACAAGTAAAGGTTTATTCCATGCAGAAAAGACACCCGGAGAAGTCTCCACAGCTGAAACACAGCTGTGTTTCTTTTCTTCTCTTTTCAGCAGGGAATAAACCCTTACTTGTTCCTAAGTGGCAGTTTGTTTACCAGGCCCAACGAAGATGAAGAGCGATGATAAGGAAATGGGGTTGGAATCAAGGGTGAATAAGGGGCGAATGGAGGTGTTGTAGCATAAAGACAGCCGGGTAGCAGGGAGTCACTTGACACAATGTGGCAGCATACTGCACGTTCTCCCCTCTACAGGGAGAGAGGAGTCTTGAAGGCACAGGTTGAGTCCCAGGTACTCCCTGTGCCTTGAATTCAGCAGACAAATGGGCAGCCTTGGAATGAAGTGAGAAGGAAAGTGGAAAAGGCAAAGCTGAAGAGTTGAAGTGAATTCACTTGAAGGCAGGGAAATGGACGACACAGAGTACATGGGGTTGAATACTCCAGTGCCTGGTGATTAACAACAGTAACATAACAGTAAACATGATTTAGCATGTGTGTGAGTCAAGCAGAGTGCAGACCAGCAGAAGGAAGAGGGATATGAAGTCTTCTCCAAGAGGAGGCAGACTAACAAGATATAGGATCCCAGAGAGGCAGAAAAGAGCTGGAAGGAGCAGTAAAAAAGTAAAAAAAC